AGAATACCTATCAATTAATTCTTTGGTTATAATTTTACTTCAAATACAAACATCGATTTGATAAATCAATTTTTCTAATAATATTGCAACGTTATTTTAATGATTGAATAACATTACAATATTATTGTAAAATTTAATGATTTTTCTCGGTTGGAGTTTAATCATATGACATAACGGACCTATGGGTCCATTACATTATGTGATAAAGAGCAATAATTACTTAATTGAAATGCTATATTAACAATGAAGACAAGAATTAATAATAAAAATTAATTAAACCAAAATTCAAGTTTGTTATGTATTTAAAGAATGGTGGTTCGATTGTTCTTTAGAATAATATTGTTTGAAAGTATATATAAAGAAAACTAAAGATTTTTTCAAAAAAAAAGATAAAAAAAAAGGAAGATTATGAGTACTTTACGCGTGTCTCTACTTCTCCTAAACTTGTAAATATGAGCAACCCTGAACAGTTGAACTCTATTCATAAGATTTTTATTAAAAAATATTGTCAAAACAAAAAAAAGATGATGAAGAGGGGATATTTCCAATTCTTCTGAAACTAGCCGATTTGGGGTTATACCCAGAAGCCGAATATTTTTTGAGTCTATTGTATATTAATAAACAAGGAATTACAGAAGGTAATAAGATATTTTACATAATGATAAATGTTTAGCTTCAATAATGACGAATAATTCTCATTTACGAAATAAGGTAATCACAAAATTAGATATTTAGGTCATAAAATTTACTTTTACTTTTGGTCGATAAAATTAAATCTCGAAAAAAACAGATAAACTTCTACAAGAAAAATTACTTCTCTTTACTCATTAGATGAATACCGGTTAAAAATGCCAATTTTTTTTACAAATCTTTCATAAAGTCGGTTGACAATTACTGAGGGACCGAATTCTTGGTTCTAACTCTAACTAATATTACGCCTATAGATTTTTACCTCCATAAATGCAATACCTCTCTAAGTACACGTTTGACTAAATTTTTATATATGGTCCCGTCGCATTGCATTAAGAGAGGTTTGACTGTATGACCATTTGCGAGTTTCTATATTACTCAGGGGATTTTTAATATTTTAAAAAATTAAATTATTCAAATGCAAAATCATTTATATTTAAAATTTGAATGAAAAAAAGGCTCTGTTTTTTATTGTATGACTTTAAAAAAAAAAGATCAAATCAACTTAAAATGAGTTTTATTTAAAAATTCAGAATCACTTCCACACTTACAACAAATAAATTAATTATTGTCATAGTTTACATTCAAATAAATCATTCTTTTTTTAAACAAAAATGCTAAAGTTCAATTATTTTTAATTTTGTAGATTTTTTATTTAATTTTTTATATAAATTAAATACGTGTTAACATTAAATACGTATACAGATAAAAGAAAGTACTATATAATAAAAATAAAAATAATCATCTGGAGTTTCAATAAGTGAAGATGAATATTCTCCGATAGTACCATTAATTTATATATATCGTCATTTCCCTTTCTCATCGGCCAATGATAAGTTTTAGTGATTCAAATTTTATGTAAAATCTTTCAGTTTTTTCTTAATAAAATTTACAAATTTAACCAGAGTTACGGCTCGGCTCATGGTTTTCTATTTACTGGCATTATTTGAGAAGATACCTTCACAAGAGTTTGGAAACTTTTTTTTCATATAATTTAAACTTAAAATAATATGTCGACTGAAGTATTATAATTGATTAAATTTTTAAGATTTTTACTTCCGATTTCTTCTTGTTTTCCAAATTCATCAAATTGAATACTCTTAGAAACCACCTGCGCATTATAAGGAATAAGAATTTCTAAAAGGACAAATGAGTTTCTGATATTAATATTACTAAAGAATTTACTTAAGTCATCTAAAGTTACTTCACCCTCATAACCTGATTGCAAAATCATCCACATTTTAACTTCTTTTATATACTTAGGCAATAATTTTGTTAGTTTTTCTAAATAATCTCCTAATTTCATATTTTTTAAATTAACAACAAAGTGATTTTGATACAGTATCAAGTATTGCAAGCTTGAAACCCAAGAAATCTCTAAATAATCCAGATTACATGAAATTAATCCAAGTGAAAAATCCACAATATTTGGGCAACTTTCAAAAGCTATTTCAAAAATTTTCTCAATTTTATCTTTACAACGTGGACCTATGATTTTTAGGGTTCTTAAACTTGAATTGCAAAGTGAAAGAAGTTTAATAACAGGTGCTGTAGAGTTATAAATTACAAGTTGTTTAAGAGGAATTTGGTTTGTTGAGTTATTTTAATCATATTTGTTTTCAAATAAACAATTGATTTTGAAAGGGATTGATACTTTTTATAAAGCCAATTAATGAACCTTTTTTAAATTCAACAGAATTAAATTCTAAATACAAAAGAAAGTATAATTGATATTGTAAAACATTTAAAAAATATGTGTTATAAGTATTTATATGTTTTAATCTATTCTTGATTTTAACTAATTTTACAAGAGAATTACCTAAATCTGGAATAACATTATAGTATAAATCTATGAATTTAAAGTGTTGAATTTTAGTAGATTTATTCAGCAACAATTGAATAAGAAGTTTAAAAATCATTTTTATATTAACTATTCTTGAGAATGTTTATGGAAATTTTGCCAAAAGTTAATCACAGCATCCATGAAATTATTTATATTAAAAAATCATAAAAATGAAGAATATGGCAATTATTAATTAGATTTGAATCTTGATTTTTTTAATAATTTGCTTTTCTTGAAGAGACATTTCTTGTATATAAGTTTTTATAGCAAGATGTGTCTTTGATTTATTTGAAAAAAGATCACACCACAATAATGGAGATGCTTTACAAAACCATTCAGAATTAACTTATGTGCAAGAATAAAGTGTTTTAAATTTGCTAAAATCTTAAAAATTTCTTTTAACACAAATGATGAAAATTTTTTTTGTAATGTAGAAGTGTTAGGCATTTGTTACAATTAGTGATACAAATCAAAAATCACAACTTATTGAAAGGTTGACAACTAATCAATTGAAAAATTTTTGGCAACTTATATTATGAACAAAAATCAATTAAAAATCAATTAGTCAAAAAGTTGACAACTAATCAATTGCAAAATTTTTGGCAATTTGTATTACTAGTTTGTTAATTTCTTACATTCACATCTCTAATAAGAAGGCCTTAAAAGTTTTTTCCAGCTTTATTGTATATGAAAAACTAATTAAGTACTGATTCTAATGTGCAGAATTGAATCATTAATTTCCATTAATGATAACAGAGAATCGAATTAATTAAACAATTGAAACAATAATATAAACAGAAATACTTTCTTTATATTTTATTAATAAAGTATATGCAATTAAAAAAGGATTTAATTAATAAAATTTGTACTTTATCAGACAACATTGGTTAGAAAAGCAAAAAATTAGTGATTTGTCAAATTAAATACATAAATAGGCTAGGTGCTGCAAAAAGAGACCAAATCGACAATTTTTTCAAAAGACAAATCAATTTAGAATAGATTAAGATTATTTTTTACTTAAAACACAAAGTGGTTGTATTAATAAAATTTTGCGGTATTGCTCTTTAAGGGTAGAGAATACGTAGATTATTTATTATATAATTTTTGTGGTACAACGTGATTTTTATAAAAAATAAAATATGCTACTAATAAAACTTTTTACTATTTTAATTAATTTTTGTAAAATTTTTATA